TGAGTGCTGAACCTGTAACAACATTCATTTGCACAAGAAAGGCAGATACCCAGCCACATCAAAATCATTGCACAGTATTCACAAGAATGGCAGAGGCAGCATCAGCCCAGCATAGCCTGCTTCAAAACGTGTCAACCTGGCAATCAGAGGAGCCTTAAGGACAAAGGATGTTTGCAGTAGCAGTGGCATTGGCCGCAGCAGGAAGCAGTTGCAGCAAGAGCAGCAGCAGTGGTGATGCAACTGGAATAGAAAGAGACGAGGATAGGCAGGAGGGGGAAGTGGTAGTTTCACACATAATGGTGATGTCCACAGACACAGAATTCTTACAAGTGCTGGTGGCTGAAGCTACCAAAGGTCCTCCAACACAAATGTCTAGAACATCTACGCGATCCTGAAGTCCTGAGTACCTGGACCCCCCAAGAAAAGGTAAAATCATAGCCCAAAACGTTCAACAAATCAATCAGGCTATTATTTTATTTTGGGGGGTCCAGGAGGGAGCAGCTGGCAACCTAAGGCGGCTCATGGCTTCTCCTTTTTCAACGACGTACTTCGAGGCGGAGCCTGGCGGCATGGTTTCCATCACCATCCTTCAGCTAACGCCCGGCAGAAATTACGATGCCGCCTGGTCGGTCTGCAAGGGCAGTAAGTCAGATGCGTGTAACACAATTTTTGCAAAACGGGAATGGACAAACAACAGGATACTGTAATGTTAGTGGGATTCTCCTGCTAGGTTTAGGGCCGAGGGTGCTTTCGGGCAGCATGCTTAGACCCAGGTCTACTGCTACTCGGAAACATATCTGCCGCCTTCGGAGAATGGAGTGGACACGGCACCCCGTTTTGGCATGGATTTCGATGCCATCCTGAATTCACGAACCAGATTCATCACCGAAGGTCCTTTCTTCGATGTGGCCATGCTGCACTTGGCCATTTGCATTCAGGCTTTTGTCATGTCATGCTTGTTGCCAGTAAGAATACCAACGCTGCTGTCAGGATTTGGGCTGGTCCTGTGTGTCTGGATATGCTTGCAATATCACTGGATTGCTTGGGGAGCGCTTGACGGCGGCGGATGGGCTTCTGGTGAGAGCAGACGGTTGCCCACGGCGATGTGAATGCAATGGTCAGGCAGACCCGCTGAGCAAGGGGGCAGTGTGCTCAGAGATTTCGCAGGATCCAACAGTCCAGGCGGGTGTTGGGCTCTCCGACGCACGAGACCCAATGGGTGCATGGTGCTATGTTGACCCTGGGCTTTGTGATGATGAGATGCCATCACCAGTGTACCCGTCCTTGTTGCTCTCCTACAAGGTCTGCTCATATGGGGAAGTTGCTGGGACAGGGCCGGCACGTGTCCCAGGCTTCCCCAACGGTGGCGTGGCCAAGAACCTGATGGATGGTAGGGCCTTTAGCTTTGGCGAAGAGTTGGTGATTGCTTTTGGCGCGACCTATGACTTGTGCTGGTGCAATGGGACGGAGGCGCCTTGCGTCACAGAAGCAGACTTCGCTGTGCGGATTGGGCCCCTGCACTTCAGTGGCCCGACTGCACAGCAGGCACAGCGGGAGATTCGCTGCATCGCTGGGATGCCATGCAGCATTCCCAACTTCGACGGCCAAGCAATAGAAGAAGGCATCAAGATGTCAGGTTGCTGCAATATGCACTGGAATAGGTAGGTATGGAGTAAGACACGCGCTGCCTCTGTAGCTGCCCATTTCACATTTCTTGACAGTAGCAACCCTGCCAGGCTCCCGCCTGGTGGTGCTTCCTGACGACCCAGCCGGCTGCAGATGGCGAAGAGCCAGCCTTGCAGATCCCCCAGGCCTTTCCTCTCTTTGGAACCACGTATTTTCTCATGGCATTGCCGTTTGAAAGCAGAAATTTTTGGGATGCCATTGATATAGCTTTGGGTCTTACTGACGCTCTGGCAACATCATTTCAATCCATGCACGAGTCTGTGACCCACAGCCAGATTTAGCAGTAGTTGTAAACAACACTGGTGCTAAGCAGACTCGTCAGCCAGTGTGTGTTGGAAGTGTTGCAGAAGACTCGTGGCAGACACACTGCGCTGCAAGCAGGAGAAGTAGCCGTGCAGAAGTAGCACTAGCAGCAACAGTGGCAGAAGAAGAAGAATCAGCAGCAGCAGCAGCAGCAGCAGCAGGAGCAGCAGCAGCAGGAGCAGCAGCAGCAGCAGCAGGAGGAGGAGGAGGAGTAGTAGTAGTAGTCGTCTTTCTGGTAGTCGTCATCAGTGTCGTAGAGTAACTTACAAGTAGTCTTTGTAGTATTTCTTTTCCACGTAGCGCTAATACTGTATGAATCCGAACAGGGGCCTCAGGAGTCCTTGTATAATCTCATGCATCCTGAGGGTATACAAGGTATCCCCTCTTTGAGCACCTCGGAGTAGGGAATTGGCGTTGCAAGCTGATGCCTGCATGCTGCCAAGAGTTGGTGCAGGTCTCCTGGAGTTTCCCAACTCTGGAGTTTCGGATCCTTTCCAAAAGGCCAGGGCCTCAGCTGCGCTTCAGAGGTGCCCCCTCCTATGCTTTGTTTTGGTTCAGACTCCATTCCATGCGTGGTGCTGATGGACTGGGTAAAGAGTACCTACATCCGATGATCCTGTGCATGGATGCCATCTGCTTTGAGATGTGACCGAGGGCCTTCACCAGTATGACTTCATGGGGGTGCCACTGATAGTTTCAGGGGGATACTACAACCTCTGCTGGTGCGGGCCGAGGGCTGAAGGACGGGATATTGCTGCTATTGCTGGGACATATTTTGGCAGTATCCTTTTGGAACTCCATCCGCTGTCCAAATCGATCGACAGACCATTCTATCTTGATATAGGAGAGGTTGCCTCAATCCTTTGCGCCATGCAGGAACTATACTCGTCCCGGGCAAGGATTATCGGCAGCCGGATGGCATCGTCCCGCCTCCTTGCCCACCCGTCCGGGAAGAGGACACGAATTGCCCACCTGGCAAATGTGAAGTCACTGCGGCACTGCGCACACAAAGAGTTCCCTGATAGACTGCCACCCAAAGAAGCAATCAGAATCTGCCATGTGGGCCTTGGTGGCTGCGAGGATGGCGGGAGATTCCTTTCACCTGCTGGACGTTTGGTGGTTGTGGGTCCCCTGGGACAGGACGCTAGCAGGACATGTCCAAGCTTTTGCGCATGTATTTTGCTTGAACTTTGCAGGAAGACAGCTTCTGCAGACTCGGTGTGGACTGTGACTGCGGCCTCATAGTACATCAGGTAAGGGGATGCGCTGGCTCGCTCACGTCCTCAACAGCCTTGCATGCATGTGTCAGCTCTCTCAGGGAGGCGTCCACAGTTATAGAGTAGGAATCAAGGTTGACAAGATTTCGTACTTCCGTACTTCAGCGCTTGAAGGCGCAGCCTCCTGCAGCCGAAACATGCCGAAACATTGCTACATGACAGCAGGTCATTAGGACAACCCAAACTCCAAGACTTATCCACAAAGCAGTGAGGATGCCCCGTGCTTGCTAGCTACCTGATCCAACCGATGCCTGCGCATTGACTAAGGCATCATTCCCCAGGTTCTAGGCACGGGATTGCAAGGCGGGGATCTTCGGGGCGTGCCGCGTCAGATTGCCTAATTTCTGCTTTGTGATTATGGCAGAGCAATCTTTCGGGACCATTTTACAGTGTATTCTGATCCTGATATAACCCCTAAATAACCTCTACAGAAACCTTAAATAGTAGTTTCCTTTTTATTTTCCATTATCCCTTTATATCCACTATAAGCCCCTATAGTGTATTATGCACGGCATTGGATCACCGCTCTGGGCGAGGTGGAGACCGCGTGCTGGCTCTGAAGGCACCAAGGGCCCTTCTGATGTGTAGTCTTTCAAAGCAGCCTTCAGTGCCTCGCATGAAGCATGCGAAGCATACGCTGAAGATTTGGAATCAGAAGTACGAGACTGAATATCCGAAAGTGCTACAGTGCTACAGGTCGTTCACCCGCATGAGTGCTCTTGCGAACTAAAGTTTAACTGCTAGCGCCATTACCGCTGGCAATCGGCTTGAAGACAGCTTGAGTTCTGATGTGTCGGAAGGAGTAAATGATAGGATAAGAAGTTGCAGCCGTACTCAAGTGCTTACAGCGCCATGCAGAAGTCAGACGCCCCCAATCTGCTCGGGCACTTGTTTTGCACGCGGCCTAATGCGCAGGCAGTCTGGACCCCTTGGCAAATCTCGGAATGACCCAGAATCCTGCAACAAATCCCTCAAAACTCTGTAGTGAGAACGCATAGATCCAAACGCCCCAGTCCTCCAGCCTTGGCGGATTATTTGTGTAGACTTGGAGAAGCTCGGCGCTCGACCAATGCTTGAAACGTCAAGATGAACACTACAGTCCCCAGCTTCCACGGGGCATTTCCTAAAGCAGGCGTCCATCCCGTGCCCGTTAAGATTGCGGCATAGTCTCGGCTGGGATTCTCTCAAAACTCGGGTACCCTTATTTCACCGAAGGCAGTTGCATAATCCCACTTGCAAGACTACAAAGAGGCTCAGGCACCTGTAAAGGCCTTCAACAGTTGCAAGAGGAATGCGGCCGAGCGGCTCCTCGGCCTGCGGGGTGGCTGCAAGGCAGGATGTTCTGGACAACCCGAGACAAAAACAAAGCCATTTGAGGGGTCCCAAGATGGATCCAGGCTATGGAGATTTCTCAGAAAAGGGAAGTGGAACGTGCGGATTGTAGACCTCCTTTTGTGTGAGTTCCTGGCGCTTGTTGATGCCCTTGTGGGGGTCATACATGAGGAAACCCCTACTTTGACAAATGCCCAGAAAGGTCAAACATGGGTGTACAGGGAACATTTGAATCATTATGCATCGGCCGTATCGAGCAAACTCTGCAAAGTAAGAGCGGAAATTAACGGAATCACAGGGCTATTCCAGCTAAGGTTCACCCTGCCTTGATTTGACAGTTGTTTAAGTACAGCTAGTTCTGGTCACCACCCGCTGCTGTGCGGGCACATACACTATTCGTCAATCATGTCAAACGTGACAAACTTGAATCCACAGTTGCAGGACTATGCAGGGCTTCTGCCGGATTTGTCCATTTTAGATCTGAAGCAGTTGCTGACGCATGGGTTTTGACTTGTTTTCTTTGGCTTGGGTTCTGGCAATGCAGCTGTTTTTCGGGCGCACTGAAACCTAAAGCCAGCGAATATCGTTCACGCCTGGGTTACTCCACGAAGAGAAGCTCGTTTCCATTTTCAGGAACTCCAAAGCGGCCAATCATGTTCAGAGACCCGTGGCCAGGGGCTGAAATGTTGGGACCTCCTTGGATGGAGGCGGGCTGGATGTCGCCACTCGGCCGGACAGCAAGTGGGCAAACTGAAGCTCCCGTTGGATTCCCAGGAACGACTCTTTTTTTCTGGTTTCGACCTACTTTGCTGCAAGTCCCGACCTGGACAGTGATTCTTGCTGGCTTGAGTGTCATGCTTACCCCGTTGTGTCCTGGCACTTCACACGCAGAATAGAGCAGGGACACGAATGCACAGGCATGGGCCCGCTGTATCAGAGCTGATGCTCACAGCTTTCGGCCTCTGAACCGCACTCATGCGTTGACTTGCCGTAGCTGCCTCTGAACCGCACTCATGCGTTGACTTGCCGTAGCTTCAAGAGATGACTCAGAGATGAACTTCAAGCTTTGCACCTACTGCAGTGCTTTTGATATAGTGTTCTGATTGCTAGGGCTTTCTCTCCAATCATGTACAAAACGCGCGCAAGCCTGTAAGGTGCACCCGGTGCGCAGCCACCTTCCTCGGGGAATGCTTCTGAGCGCGGGGTTTACGGCTTCCCCAACTTCGGCATGTCGTTGTCGTCTTCCCAGGCAGCCTTTGAGAGTTCAGGTTGAAGACCTCAGAGCAGCCTGTCTTTTTGTAGCGGGGGGGGGGGGTTTCATCCAATTACACGAGTCCTGCTTCACAATTGGATCTGTACAAAGCGGTCTTTATGCAACTTGGAGCCATGCAAATGTTTGTGGATCTACCCCCCGCCACCCTGCCAACATGCTTGAAACTATCCCCTGATTCGCTCCAATGAAAGCAATTCTTGCGCGATTGGACAGTTTTCAAGAACAACTAGGCCCTCCCGAAAACCTTAGCAGGTCATTGACAAGAAAGGCCCTTTTAGATTGGCAAGCTGGCTAAAGCTTGGATTCGGCACGGAGCTTTTGTGGCTGTGTTAGAACATTGTAGTGAGTGTATTGTGAAGGGGACGTCAATTTCAAGAAAGAGCCTTCCTGGCTGGACCTTGGCAAGAAACATGGGGTTGCTATCTGCAACGACCGTTAGAACGTGCGTATCTCCGTAATTTGTGGTATATGCCGCGATCCTTGGAAATTCAGCCCCCTTATGCAGAGCAAGAGCTTACACGGACCCTTCAATGCGTAGGTGCGTTTGTGGTTTTGAGATCACATGACCTCCGCTGCCACTGCTCGACGAATACGGCACCTTCTGGAACCCAGAAGAATCAGAAGAGGAACAACGATGTACGGAGCTCACAGGAATCGAATTAGACGAAAGCCCTGTCTCCCAGAGAAGCTTGTCGACCTGCAGGCTGGGTATGTGCATTGGGGCGGTCCAACGTGGTCCTTCTCAGGCAAAGTGGGCTAAACGAAGAGTGATGAGGATGAACCAAGGCGTTCTGGATCCGTTGTGCTTTGTCCGCGCAAGGCTGTATGGGAGAGTGTGGCTCCGTGAGTGTTGAATTGCAGGTTACAGCGCAGGGGAAGGAACATCATAGACCCCATGACAGATTTGTGCAGTGTAGGTCTGATTTCAGGATGTCATGGCAGATTCCTGTAAGCAGGAGTCCTGTGCCGTGCAGGCACCTACTTGATGTGCTGGTGCGGCGCCGACGCGACTCTCGTAGGCCTTTGAAATTGTGAAATCTGAGCCAGCCGTTTTTTTGGAAAGTATCCTTCCTTCCCAAAGGAACCCATATCTGACTTGCTCTCATTTTCAGACCTGCTGCTGTAATTGTGGGTGTTCGTGCACATATCTCCAGGTGTAAGCCGGTTGCTAGGATGGAAAACTTCAAGTGTTGCCGTGGCCCACAGTCGAAGGCTTTCATTGTTTCAGCATCTCTTGAGGGCCGCCAGGCAGCCCCACCCAGAACTCTGGTATGCTTTCGCTGCTGAGTATGCTACTGTAGCATAGGGAGTTTCACCCCCTGGCTTATAACTATGTCCAGCTGTTCAAGCTGAAGCGCATTCCGATTGACGAGCGCCAGAATCTAAAGGAGGGGTTCCATGTTGAGATTCAAAGGTACATATCTCCGGATCCAGGACCCTCACTCTCAACGCAAACGTGCAGGAGCCACAAGGAAAGCAACGATACACATGTACGCACATGCATTTTCGCGGAAAGAGGGCCTCACGGAACTTGAAGGCTGAACGCGAGGTCCGTAGTGCGTTGCTGTAGCAGGTTGCCGCTCGCCAGCCGTGCCTTGGCTCTCCAAAGCACTGCATTCTTTGTGTTCTTTGTGGGTGTGGCGGATCATCAGGTTCCACTCCTTTGCCAGTCATGGTTGCAGTAGTGATCGGGAGGCAGTCGCGGCTAGTGGGAACTCTTCACAGCAGTATGTGGCAGCACGACAAATCTTCAACTTTGGGTAAAAGGCAATGATGGCACGCTTTAAGTATGTACATCAGATTGTTGGATTTAGGGTTTCGCCCATTCCGTGCTCATTTACATTGATCCCTTCCGCTCGCACCTTCCCCTTTCGGCGCACAATTGAAAGCCCCGCACGAGGACTTTCTGGTTCCAATTGGCCGGCTGATCATCACAGGGCCTGCGGTTCTTCCCCTGGCTGGACAGCTCTACCGCTGTGTTCGGATGCGACAGTGCGAGATTGAGAATTTCCAAGGCCAGGGAAACTGCCCGATTGTAGGTTGGATAAATTATGCATGAGGCACGCCAGTCATGGACCTTCCACAACTTTTAACTTTGCTGCATGGGCCGTCAGTGCTGCCTCTGGTGGATATGCTGGCGTTTGGTTGCGCTATATAGCAAATTTTCTGTTTGCCATTCAGGCGAGGATTTACATGCATGATCCAGATTCATTTAGCAGCATCCTTAGGTAATGAGAAGAGAAGGCCGGAGCAGTTGTCAAAAGCACGGATGGTTTGGCCAGGGCAGGTGCGGATTATGCTATTTGCAAAGATCTTCAGCCTCGAAAGAACTCTGCAGGCTCTTATGATGTTGCTTTAGGAAAAGCAGAGCGTAAAGTGGCTGCACTTAACCAGAAGCGAACAGTGAAACTACTTTCCAGTCAGCACTCTGGTAGTTTCAGACTGCACTTCGCTAAACCCATGAATGCTTCTGCTGATAACTCGTTGCTTCATGTGGAGGTACAATGCCGCCGGCTGCGCAGCTGGCTGTGGCTGTGGGGGAGTGCGGAACCGAAAGCCCTGTAGGCCGCAGCCTTGCGTTGTTTTACCTGAATAGCTGCAGGCAGTCGGAAAGAAGGCCGTAGTCATTAGACACTTCGGGGAGATGTTGGTGTGCGAGCACGCTTCAGCTTGAAACAGGCTTCCCGCGCTACGGCCAGTCCATCCCGTCTGTTGATGGCTCTCACTTTGCTTGGGGACCCGCACCGTGGCGTGTGATGGCTTGGGTGAAAGAGCTCTATCGTGCAGGGGGTTGTAAGGCCTTCTCTGAGGCTTGCAGGCTGCGCTGCAGCAAATACCAGAGGCCAGGTTATTCATGTCCCTTGTGGTCACATGGCCTGCCTGCAACTCAGCCAAGGATCGAATTACTTCAAACCCTGGGATCTATCGGCTCTGCTGGTGCAGTGAGGGGCAGAATTGTGTCCTCCCGACGCAGTACATGGCCTATGCTGGGGTGTTGCAGGCGAAGGGCTACCATGAAAAACCCCTGAACAGCAGGAATAGGCTTTGTTGTTACATTGTTTTCGCCGCTCTTACTCTTTCTTATACTCCTATACTCCTACTTCTAGTAATCCTGCAGCTTCTCCTTCTACTACTGCTGCTACTTCCACTTCTATTTCTGTTTCTTCTTCTTCTACTACTACAACTGCTACTACTCTGCATTTTGCTCCTCCTCCTCCGCCTCTTCCCACCCTCCGACGCTCCCCTTGCAGGTAAAGTGGCCTACCTACTCGCCTGAATATTTCTTCTGCGAGCTCGGACGGCTCTGCAACATCTCGGGCATCCAGGGAGAGGGGCTCAGCAACAACGACAAGGCGGGGCTTTCTCGAGATTATGTAGCAACTTCAGGGCTTGCTTGTAGAGATCCTCTTACTAGGACAAAGTTTCAGAAATGACCAAGGTCATGGTGTTGACCAAGTGCGGTGAGGGCTTCGAAGAGGCTGCTACATTCATGGAGGGCTCAATGTCCATCGCCACCTATGAGGATGGTTCGAAGTTCCTGCTCCCCGCCTCAGTGCAGTCTGGAACATATCGAGTCTGCTGGTGTGCCGCAGAGAACACCTGCAGATACCCTCGCGACTTCACCGTGAGTCTCGGCCGCGTGGATTTTGGGGGCCCAGTGCCGGACTTCGTCTATCGCTGCTTCGAGTGGCAGTCGTGCGAGATCATGGAGATGGAGGGCACCACCTTGGAGGATGGGGACCGGCTCATGGCGGTCCCTTGACTCAAATTTCTTCTTTCATCTTGGATTCATTTAATCTTACCTCCAGTGCTACTTTTGGCTTATGGACTTGAGTGAACCCTTTCCTTGCGGCTGTGAGTTTCCGTGCCATAACAGGTCCCGGATGGCACCGACTGCAGAGCTCCCACACTGACGCCAGCGTTTGGGTTTCCGCGGAATGGTGTGACGATGCCGGTGTTTGGGCTGAAGGGGCTAGGCTAGCAATAGAGAACTGAAGGACGACCCAATTAACTTCTAATTTTCGCAGCTTATGTAGCAAGTACCTACTTTCACCCGCTCCCCACCAGCCACTCTGTGAAACCTTAGCAGGCTACCGGCGGTGGCCGCCGCTTCTCCTGGGGCGAAGGTTTAATACGTGCGCCGCCAGGGCACTACATGCTCTGTGCCTTTGCTCGTAATGTGCTTGGTGTCAGGGTCAGTCTGTGATGACATGTGATGACTAAATTTGTTTTCCACTTTTTTCACAGGCAGGAACCATAATGTTGCCCATCTGCAGCGAACGAAGCCCAACAATTTCTAAAGCCCATGCAAATTTGTTCGGCAGCTCAAAGTTGCCAAGGCGCGAATGCCTAATTGAGCTATAGTCTAAACTCCTGAAAGGAGGGTTATGTGGGGGATTAGATAGGGGACTACTATAGAGGTTATTAAGGGGGATACTAGGAGTTTGGCTCCGGGTGCGCCAAGTGCCCGGGCTGACACCGTTCGTGTTCCAAGAGCATACGGTGACCAGAGCAGCCATGCCCAAATCATAATTCCGTTCGTGTTCCAAGAGCATACGGTGACCAGAGCATCCATGCCCAAA